TTTGTGTAATTAATGGGTTTATATGCTATGAAATTAATGAATTACATTAAAGTAATACATTAATTTAATTTAATTATTTAATAAGTATTTGATTTTATTAACATAATTTAAAATTTTAATTATGTATTAAATTTCTAAATGTACAAATATATATTGTAAATTATTTTTCATATGAATTTATTATTTATTTATTAAACATTAATTAATTGCTATTATTATTATTATTATTATATCGATGATTATGTCCAATAAAATGCCATAAATATTTTCTATATTCATATATATTCTGTATAAAAATGATTGCACGGAATATATTACAGTATAGATAAGCAAGTAATCCGTGAATAAGGTTTTAATGTTAGACAAAGTGTGGCACCACTTCTATGGGACAAGAATTTATGATATTCTTGTGAACACTAATTATTATTCATTTAAATTCTCTAATGTTTTACAAAACGATAATAAAATTCTTGACATTTTTAGAAACTTTAGAAAGTAAATTTTTAACATTAATATCATAATTTATAAATTTAAAACTATTAATATACTATATGTGGTAAAAGGTTAGATACAGTATTTTAGTTACTTATTATAATGACATTTGATATGAATATATTTCAATTAATTTACCATGCTATTTTATCGATGAGCAGGATTAAATTAATTTATAATATAAAACAAAAATCACATGAAAGTTTAATTAAAATAAAATTAGTTTTAAAATTTATAGTTGTATTTATTTTGCTTTGATATATAAAACAAATAATTCAGACAATAAAAATCATACTACTAATTAATTTCGTATATAATAAAATTATAGATAAAAATAATAGACATATTTTTTGCATGTTACAATGTATTGTCTGACATCCCGGTGCTCAAACTATATCATATCATTATTATATTCATAACAACCCTTTTGATAACAAGGTTTTAAAATGTTTATAAACATTAGATACATGCGATTCAGTTGCAGGTTATTTAATATTTATAGCATTTTGGCTATAAATATCAATTTAATAAGTCTATGCCATTACTAAAACATATTTTTATTTAAAGATTACAAACATATGCCGACAAAACTATGATTAAATATAAAACTATTGACTTATTTCGTGATATACTATTTCAATATATATAACGGTTGCTAATTATAATTTATTAATGTATTTAATTACTAGCTACAATTATTGTCATAACTTATTATTTATACGAGTCATTTAAATTTATTAAATATTTTTAAGCATTATTACTACGGTAATTAACTAATGTTGAATACATATTATTTTTTAATTATACAAAATTATATTAAAAATATGAGAATATTATCTTAGAAATTTAAGTGTATTAAATTTAAACCAATAAACAAGCAAATGCAAAATATTTAATTAAAATTAATAAGCACTTAATTACAGAATATAAGTAAATATAATTTTTCAGCCACCAATTTCCCATAATGTTAAAGATAATTTTTATTATAAATAACATTTATTAAGTTTGTCATTTTTATTACAGTTAATAATTCAATCATTGTAAAATAAATTCATTTAATCAAGGTTTATAAATTATTTTGTAGATTTCAATTAATTTTTCAATTAAGTAATATTTAAATAACTATTAAATATAAATATAAATGTGAATATTACTCAAAAAAAATAATTTTTATATTTTTAATCCAAATTTCTAATACCCTGAATATATTGATATAAACATATTGTGTATATAGTCTGGGGGACAGGCATTGCGCACAAGTAGTGGTTCAGTCAATAAAACTCTTCACTCCGTTATATTAAATTAAAAGGGAATTCATATCCATATGTATATTGTATGGGAAATAAGGAGAGAGAAAATCATTTTTATTATTCAAACGCCAAACTCCACGGCACCGGCAGTTATTGGTAGTCTCTCTGGTAGGCAATCATAATGCGAGAGACACTACCAGTGCCTGAGAGTGTCGGCGCTCGCCAAATGCCACTCTTATATAACACAACTATAGGTTTAGTATAGGATATGTTTTTGATTGATATATCAATGTGTGTGTCGAGTAGTATGGGAAAGACATGCAGTAATAGGGAACGGCATGTATAAGTCTTATATCAAGTTTTATGTAATTATAAAATACCTGTAATTATAGTTTTGTGGAAATTGTGAAAATCATGTTTATATTTATATTAGCTATCAATACTTTGATATCATATACAACTTTGTGTATATTTTATTAGATGTTCACTATAGATAGTAATTGTTTATACAATTTTGTAGTTAAATACTTAAGCATAAGTAGAGTATTGCATAAAATGCATAATTTTGTGTACATTTTACACATTCACATGTAAATGAATGCAAGATTTTTAGAAATATAAGTCGTCGATTCATATGTATTGAATGAAAAATTCAAAATAGTTTTTGTGATAAATGTTATGCTTTTTTAACAAATACTTGATATTCATATATCACAACCAAATCTCTCTCTCTCTCTCTCTCTCTCTCTCGCTCTCTCTCTCTCATCTCTACTTTACTCTCTAATGGATGAGCTGTGAAAATGTAATAATAAACTGAATGAATGTCTTATTATATGCTGTGATGTGATTATGGTATTAATCAAAGACTTTCTTTGTATTCAACCAAATATAAGGATTTTTGTCTCTCATTGAGTCAACATATTTAGGCACAAAACTAATGCTAAATCTCTGACACATCTATTCATTCACAGATATATTCACGAAACACTCATTTTTTGCATGTCTTAAGTACTTTGCATTATGAGTTTCACCAAAATCCTTATCCGAACAGCACCGGGAGATTAACTGGCATTTAGTTAAAATGGTTGTTCAAGTATTTTCACCAACATTAAACATATTAGCCACAAAATGCAATTAATTTTCACATTTCTGTGACTTTAAACACACACTTCAATGCAATCGTTATTTTTTTAAACATTTTTATTAGCTTGTATATTTTTAATTACTAGATAATTATTATAAATTTATTGTAATTTTTATTCATTTTATGCTATTATGTGCTAAATCATGTGTAATACCTGTAAACACATATCGTATAAAATTTTTGGACAATAGTCTTATTATAGAGAGATTGAGAATCTTATGGCAAAAATCTGATTAAGTTTTAAGCTAAACATTAACGCCATTCCCAGATTTGAGTCCATAATAATCGGTATTACTATTAAATGTGTTACAAATAAATACCGATTCCTTTTAATCGGGAGGTTTCACTATAATAGGAGTCTCTCTCTCTCAGACAATAACTGCTGAAAATAAATGGCACAGAATTTTGTGATCGCAGTATTTGTCGCAAATATATTACAAAACTATTAATTGATTACATAAAACAAATACCGAATCGATAGTTGAAATTATAATATAAATATTGAAAACAATTTTTATTTGTTATGAAATGTGTATTTAATTGCTTTTAAACAGCTATCGAAAAGTTATGTCAAACAATAGCGGAGTTTATATACGAAACGTTAAACATTACGCCGAGTGTATAATCAAACATTAAATACACAGATATTTATATAAATATATTTAAGTTATATTATGATTATTATTACACTAAGTATTGTGTGCCCTGTTGTGTGAGACAAACAATTATTACCTAACATTTAGCTATAATATTATCATTGTATTTATGTCTCGCAAACTAGCTATTTGCTAATTTAAAGTAATTTTTCTATTTGAGACTAATGTTTGACAAATATTTAAAGTATTTTTCACTTATTATCCATTACGATGTGACTACAATCTCATCAGTGTAATTAGATGCTGCATACATTTTATTAATAATAGTCATATAATATTTAATTATTATGACGGGAATATTTATGTTTATAGAAAACATTGTACGATAAGGAGCCGGGTATTCATAATAAATTAGAGATTAGTTCATTTTAATAAATGTGTTATACTGTATATTTTATAAAAGTAATGTAACCGGGAGTATACCGTAGGCACAGAAATATACTATTTTCTCTCTTCATATAATAAATATTTAATTATTGATAATATTTCTCACTTCGCTATTGACTGGTAAACACATGTCATAAGTAAACATAAGTTTATAAAATAGTTTTTACGATTAATTGGCGAATGATAGCCACGGGAGTGAAAATAGTTGACAAAAGTTTTGCACGATATATAATTAAATAATTAACCTTTTTTATTGCCACGCTTTTTATCGTTTTGTTTTATTTTATTTGATAACAGTTTATATATCTTGAAAACAAAGTTTTTATAACTGCTTTTGAAATATTACGTGAATTGTGTTTAACAGATATTATATAAAATAGATTTCAAATTGATTTATATAAACATTTATTTGCGATATCAATAAAAAATAAGTTTTATATAAATAAATCAAATCGTAAAACTTTTAAGTAATGTAAGTGCGAATATAAAGGGTTTCTCTGTGTAAATGTCTATTGGGGCTACAGAGATACCGGTGCCCACACTTTTGAGTTGATAAATATTTGCGTATTAAAACTTACGATAAGTTTTTAAATATTATTAAATTTCATAAGATATTAAATATATTTTATAATTTAGATTAAACTTATTTTGAAAACATATAAAAAATAATAAATTTGTTTTAATAGATAACTTGTATTGAAATTAAAAATAACATAAATATCATTTTGTTAATGAAATAAATTTTATTTGAAAACTATTATTTATTTATAAAATACATTTCGCAAAAACACACTCAAAAGGGATTTAATAATTGACTAAAAAACTACAAAAATCACTAATCATTACAATCATAAAAGATTAATAATTTAATTCAAACACTAAAACAATTTTAATTTATATGAAAAAGTATCATGATAAGTATATTAGGAAATCATATACCAATACACGAGTTGTTAAATATAATATGTATTCAAAAAGTTAATTATTTTAAAAAATTAAAAACAATTTTGATGTCATAAATACGAGAACTCATATGCGATAATGACTACTAGTTTAGGAGGAACTGGATGTTCATCTGGAGGGCGACACAAACACGAACGGCAACAGCGGGTCCATATCGGCCCATACGGTGGGGTAATAGTTGACAAAATTGTAGCCAGCGTTAGATCGCCCGGTGCTCTGGTGTGGGCCTGTCGTCGGCACCGGACTATTGACTAGCAATGGGTTGGCGTCTAATCTGTGGTGCGGATAGCCGTTGAACGGGTAGCGCGAAACAGCCTGTCCTGCTGTGGTCAGACCCGACAGTCTCAGCGATAGCTCGTTATACAGGGGACTGTTAGCTGAGGCCAGAGATGACTGATTCATAAGCGATTGATTAGAATATAAATCCAATGAATTGTTTTGTTTGCTGTCATAGAGTAGCGACTCATAGCCGCTGTCAATGGATTTATGGCCGTCCGGTGCGGCGCCGGTACTGCTGATGATGCGGTCGATAGAAAAGGCCACACCTCTCGGCGTCAGAGACTGTTTGTGTAGTTTAGTGGCCGTTATGTCGGCGCCGGTAGTGTCGGAGGACTCGTCCGTATTGTGATTATTAAGCGAGTCGTCGACGAATCGGACTCTTTTGGCGTCAATCGGCACATCCCTGTCCTCCACCTCCTCATCGTCGTCCTCGTCCTCATCGATAAGCTCGTCGTACCGGCGCTTGCGTTTGCCGTCCAGAGCGCCGGTATCTCTACCACGGGTGCCGTTAGTGGACACCGATGTCGACGACCGGGACCTCCGCTTCCGGCGCCTGAAGTTTCCGTTTTCAAACATCTCCTCGCAGTTGGGGTCGAGTGTCCAGTAGTTGCCTTTCCCGGGCCTACCCTTCTCTCGCGCCACTTTCACGAAACAGTCATTGAGGGAGAGGTTGTGCCGGATACTATTCTGCCAACCTTGCTTATTGTCGTGATAGTAGGGAAAGTTATCCATTATGTACTTATAGATACCGCTTAACGTGATTTTCTGGTCGGGGGTCGACCTAATAGCCTGCGCTATGAGCGCTATGTATGAATAGGGAGGCTTCTGGTGGTGGTGCGGGTGGTGGTGGGGGTGGTAGTGGTGGTGATGGTGTATGGCGTCTACCAGATCGAGCCCTGCGCCGGCGTATATGGAGGGCGTGTGACGGGCGGGCCCGGTATGCGTGGGGTAGCCGTTCAGTCGCACCTCCAACGGCGTGTTGATGAACGTGTTGGCCATTTCCGGGTCGGGTACTACTGGCTGCCGGTGACAACCACTTTGATTATTGCAGTCAATTGCACTTAAATAGTAATACGATAATGACATTTACGGGGAACGGTATGTTTTTCTGGACACCCCTTTCCACTCGCGCTGACAATTCGGTGTGAGAAGTGGCTTATTATGTAATATTAGTAGCGATTTAAGTGAAACTCACGGAAAATAGTATTAAAACACTTTTTGTGTGTTTTATTTATAAGTATATTTTATTTGAGACTTTGATTTTCAGATTACTTTTTATATAACCATTTAATAAGTAGTTTTAGATTAACACTAAATGTTTGTCTCTATTTGTATACACTATTCACTTGCTATCAAATAAATGAGAAGTTTGTTTTTGGGTTAAAACAAAATAAAACAAAAACTTTGATCGCCTTATTATTATTACCATAAATATTAATAACAGGTTTATTAATGCGATATATGATTAATATTTGCCTTTTGATTGTGTTTACAACTTATTATTGTCTGTGACATCACTTTACTGTCAAATCTTATCGTCGAAAATGTTTTTATAGTTTATTTATGAAGTATTTAGTGAATTGTTATTATATTTAAATACACATTATAGTGATACGAAGTGAACAGGTATGTATTTATTAAATTTATAAGTGTTTATCATTTGATAATAGCTGCGAACATACGTATCGTAAAAAAGTTGCAGTTATTACATAACAATACAAATCAATTTTGTGGGTAATATTTTTTGTTGCTTTATATTTGTTTGATAAGAGATTTTTTTTGTTGAAAAAGTTTTTTGTTTTTTCTTTCAACACTTGGTGTTCAAAGAAATCGTTTCACGCAATAGGAGTAAAATGTCACCAAAAATAGTAGTAATATATCAATACTTAAAACTTATTGCAAACACGCGTTATATAAGAGTTATATATAATTATTATTATTTAGAAAACTTATTATTATTATTAATCATAACTTAATTATTTATTACACATGTATTGCAAAAAAAACTTTGAAGTGAATGAATGGATCACTTATTTTTGTCATGAGATACCAGTCCTCTCCGGCATACCCACTGCACTGACACATACGACATGGGGATAGAAAGAGAGAGATTGGGAACACCTATCGATGATGTCTGTGCCACTCAAGACTTGTGGTGGTGAACAGTAAAGTAGAAAATAAAATATATATATTTAACTGTTTATATATATTGGTAGTGGTGGTGTTGTATGAGTGTGTGAGAGCACTGGTAGTTTTGCTCGGGCTGTTTTCAGGAGTCTTTTCGCTTATAACTGTTTTCTTCCCACAAAAAACTCGCTAATCATTTGACGCACAAAACCGAGTGATGAGAGTCCGGACAACTGGCGCTCTATCGGATGCCTGTGCTCTGGGGGCCCACAGGCTATGGAATATAGGGAACGGTAGCCAAATGCTGTATGATTACAGTTAACTGTGTTTTAGCTGTTGGGAGAGAAATAGAGAGAGACTTTAATTTTTGGCACCAAATTATTTATCCACTCGTATTCACATAGATATATAGATAGAGAGCGCCGGGAGTGTAGTATACATGAAATGATTATTTTCTATGCCATATATATATTCTGTGTATATGTATGGCACTAATACCGAGTGCCCCCAAACCCTCTCACTTACCACTAACAACTCATACATTTGTATCAACAGGAATGGCACTCAATATACGTACACACCAGTGCTCTACCGATTGCACCGTAAGGTATATAACATTTTATGTGTGTTTTTGGTGTGAGATTCTCGACACACACTTTGCCGTGTAGTACAGTATATGTGTTGAGTGTTCACAACACTGCGAGTAAAATAAACTTTTTGATTGGGGTTTCCAGTTATTTGCAACGTCTATGTGCCCATCGGCTCTCTCTCTCTCTCTCTCTCTCAGACTTCCTATTACTCTATCAATGGTTATGATATCGTTTCTGATATAAATATACACACATTCAGGCTATACTATGTAGATGCGAGAGAGAGAGAGAGAGAGAGAGGAACTATATGTTTGATATATACCCGGGATATAAATATATATAATATATATATCACTGTTTCCTTTCACACGATGGTAAGAGTGGTACACAACACACAAAAGTGCGGCCTTTTGTTAAGCAAAGAGCTATAACACAGACACCAAACCCATCAACACATCCATCACTAGAAGTTATGGTTTGATTAGAATAAGAGCTACCGTTCCCTTTCGCACCACATTCTCGCACACATTTGAGACTAATATATACACACACATACTTATAATATATTATATGATCCACACACACACAATTGTATACAAACTTGTAGTTCACAGCACTGGTAGCTCTAATTCATTTGGCGTTTGATTGCCGGCATCCTAACACACATATCCACGTAAACTGTTTGCTACACAAGTCTGTGTGTGTGAGAAAGCTATACATCCTAGTGGTCCTCATACTCTAGGAGCTACCGATCCATTGGTACAATCATTTTGTTTGGCTGTGTCTGCATAGACGAGTGGTGTGTATATGAAACACACATTAATAACAGATCACAAAGTATTTGATGGCATCGGATGTGTTGTGGTGTTTGTGCTCTTCATTTGATTGCCAGCACAAGAATATTATGGATAAACACTTCGCACAACTCTCTCTCTTTCTCTCTCTCTCTCTCTCTCTCTCTCTCTCTCTCTCTCTCTCCAACAACTCTCTCACAAACTCAATAGTAAAACATTGGTATCACAACCGCAGATATATACACACACCAGAGCTATAGATATAATAAACATGAAAAAACTTACACAAATTAAGCACATGTATGTGTGTGTGAGCTGTGATCAGGGTAAATATTATCCTGTTTATACAGTGGTGAACACAGTGAACAGGGCATAAAATAGTAGACAGCGAGAGTGTGTGTGAGATCACTACTCGCTTACGAGTCACAGCAATAACTAATATATAACTCATATATAAATGTTTTTGTATGACTGCAATGAAAAAACACTATTTAACTCGTATTTATTTATTTTATGAGTCGCTACAAAACACACACACACACTCGCAAACCTCCCATCCCCATCACACTTAGCCATACCGTGAGATAACAGTCTTATATACACTGTGTGTATGGGGAGGGGTAGACAGAAAAAATCAAATCAAAGTTATGACAACACGAATACATAGAGTGTATATTCTGTTGCATCAAATGTTTGGTGAAATACAATCGTTAGTTCAGAATAAGTGCGAAAAATATTAACAAAAAATACTGTAATATACCGAAGAGAGAGAGAGAGAGAGAGAGAGATATCTTTAATCGCAAGAATTGCAAGAATCACAAGATTTTCAACTAAAAATACAAAACCCTTTAAAAATATTATTATATACAAATCGAATCGGAGGTCATTGTCGATAATATTCAAACTGCAGGGGCCGGAAGCTGGCATATGTAAAACCTCATTTTTATTTTAACAGTTATTAAATAGCATATATAAAATAATTAAAATTAATATTTTATTAGCATGTAAATTATAATTTCACTTTAACCCAATGCATCTATACTGTATTATGTATTATACCTTGGTCATACTATAAATTCTCTTGTGTGGCGCGAAGGGAGTATTATTTTTAATATTTTTTTATAAATAAAATTTGTGTAAAGTCTCTCTCTCTCTCTCTCTCTCCCCTCTCCCACTCACTCACACTAATATATAGTCCTTTAAAATCGCGAGTCATAAGCCCCAGAGAAACGTGTAGAAGCTGTGCATACGATTCCCATTGTTTACATTTATATAAATATAATCATCTAAACTCTTATATGACTTTTTAAGCTAACGGTCCCTATAGTGGAGGTCTTGTGCGTTATGTAAGTATGAGTCGTTTGAGGGAAAGGGATGGAGAGAGAGAGAGAGAGAGAGAGAGAGAGATGAGGGAATGGATGAAAAGTAAACAAAACAGTGAATAACCTAAACATATGAAGGCATTGACTAAAAAATAAACGCCTAAACCATGAGATGTTTCGGTCGGTTGGCATCGATGGCGGGGGGACTGGTATGTAAGCTATCATAAGTATTTATAAGCAAAAAACAGGCAATTAGTGGCACAAAACTGTTTGATCCCTGTGCTCTCTCCTACATCCATATATTTATTATAACATAAACACCACAACCCCTCTAAACCCCTCCAATGGACAGTATATATCACGACTGAATGTTTGGTATTTTTTGTGAAAAAACGAGAAAATTATAGTCAAAACAAATCCAAATGAATATAAAAGTCTCGTTATATGAGAAAAATTAAACAAATAGTACACACAATCAATAGTCTCTCACTTTTTGTGAGAAATATAAATATAAATATAAATAAATAAATATCTCGAGGAAACAGAATATAGATTTTAAAAATATTTAGCTACATAAAATATATTTGTTAATAACCAGGGTTTAATTGTTTACTTAAATATAAGCTTATTAATATGAATTTCTACTTGTTGTTAAGATAAAACTTTCAAAGTTTTGATTTTAATAATATTTAAAATTAAATAAATTACTGTTTCGTTTTGTTGATACAGATATTATAATATATTGTAAATAAATTATTCTCTCTATTATTATTAGTTTTATAAATATATGGAGTATTTTGTGAATGAAATTTCGATTAAAATATACAAATATACGGCACTTAAGGCTTTGACAGAATATTCAGGTGTTTGTTGAATGAGAGCACAGGTATTGTGTATTCATAGCACAGGGAATATACTTAAATAAATACTATTTACATCAAATATAATACATATTCTACAAAATACTGTGTGTAATGCGGTACCACCACTACTGTAGAGAGTAGTGGTATATTAGCCAGGTTTTTGTTTGAATGACCACCCAGGCAGGATATGAGACATATTATAAAAGCTAACTGTGCGTTAATGTTTGTTTTGACAGCTTTACTATTTTGCTCTCTCTCTCTCTCTCTCTCTCTCTCCTTATATTCAATAAAAGTCTCATTCATTTCTCTGACACTACTATTGAGTGAAAAGACATTTAAATAAATATGAAAATATCGCATGTATTGTACGCTATAATCAAAATACATAATCATAATCATAATAACAGTGGTGTTCACTGGCATCTCATCTCACACACACTCACACTCTCTATCCAAACGTAATGATAAAATATAAGTGAAATACAAATAACACACAATTTGTTGCCTTATTATTGACTATAGAGTAGTGTTCACTATATTTGTCACCATTTGAATAGTTAGATACGAATGGAGTGTTTGAGAGACAGGATATTGAATGCATAATATGTGACATTATATCTCAGTTTATGTATATTTTAGCCATTTATTATAAACATTATATGAATTTATACATACAGGCGCTCTGAGATGGGAATCGGTTGTTGTCATGTGAGGGTATTGGCTCGAGAGAGAGAGAGAGAGAGAGAGAGAGAATAATTGGTTTTATGAGTCAATTATGATAAGAGAGAGCACCGATAGTACACTTTTGTTTGAAAGTTTTGAATATTATTTAGTAAATATTGTTTATATAAAGTATTTATTTATATATATTATGCGAACAAATAAATAGTAAATTGTGTGATAAATACAATGTAGAATCGATGCATTCAATTGTCTGTTCAATACATATAGAGTATAGTAAATCCCCAGAATTTGTATATAAATACTGTATATGAACATTAAAATTGGCACTAATTGTATGACAAGTGAATGTATGAAATTATTTTATGAGTTCCTTTCCTCCCTACTTTTCCCATAGAATAACACAATATATAAACAATTGGTTATACAGTATATTATTATTTTGTTTAATAATTTTTGCTTATATTATGATTATTACTAAAAACATAAATATATAACTTATAAAAGTATTTGTATAAAAAACAAATATGTGTTTAATAGAAAGTGAATTGAAAAAATAAACTCACATTTTATGTGGAAATGGGGTATAATTATTATTTCAATATGAATTTAATATGTTTGTATAACTGGTATGGGATGTAGTGTCCCGGTCCTATAGTCACTGATTAAGTACTTTATGTAATCAATATCTGAACGACAAGTATGTTTTGTTACAAATATATTCACAATTTAAATATGTATTTTGCTTTTAACTTAAATTTAGTTTATTTAAAATAATTTTCTAATATTTTCAATGATTGTATTCGCAAACAGCTATCATTTGACTGAATCTACGGTTCATTTATAATAAGTATGGAGTTTATTATAAAGTAAATCGAGATATTATTTATAAAAGCAAAATAAGTCTTAAGTACAACAGTCAGCGAGAGAGAGAGAGAGAGAGAGAGAGAAGAGAAATGTTTTAATTATTAAAATAACGTCTTGTTTAAGTTTTTATGTACACAAACCCTAGTCTAATATAAATAAATATATTTAATAGTGTTTAGTGAAAAGGGAAACACATATTAATCACAAAAATTATAGTATAAGGAGTGTATGTGTGCATTGAAGATGGTTATCGGTCTCTCTCTCTCTCTCTCTCTCTCTCGTTATAGAAAAACTGTTTTGAATTGATGTGTGTTTTTAGAGTGAGTCTCACAAGTCAGAGAAATTTATGTTTTATTCCGTGGTTTAATTGTAAACAAAATCTCAAAACTATGCGATTTTATGCGAGAGAGAGAGAGAGAGAGAGAGAGAGAGAGACTGGTAGTTTGAATGAGAGGGCTGGTAGGGAAAGGCAATTTCTACTATGTATAGCCCATGTCTTACAGTATGTGCGGAATCGTAAGCAAACATTTAGCAACAAATGTCTCTAAAGCTCTCGTTATTTAGTGTAATAACTCTTTAGAGTTTGAGTTTTAATAATAAATATATGTTTAAAATATACGCAAATATTATAAACAACTCTCTTATCAAATATTCAATAAACAGTAACATAACAGTGCAAAGTGACTGTACCGTTGAGGGCCGGGATGTGTACAGCACCGACACTACCATCTCTACAATAGACACTTCGGTAGAAATGTCCAAAAAATGCTAAACAGTTTTAACAAACATTTAAGAATTTTCTTATAATCATACCAAGGTGTTTTATATTCTTATAAATTTTCATGTATCTAAAATTTAATATACATGTATAATTGTATGTTTAATTATATTGTATTTGTACAGAATAAAGTGTAATAAATTATATGAATAACAAATATTTTATAGCCATTACCTCTGATGTCGTTGATATATATCTGTGGCGTAGAAGACGTTTACTGTCACTTAAGAGGAAGTACTCAATGCCATCGACACTACACTCTCTCTTGAAAGACAAAATGTGGAGACAAACAGCACTTTTTGTGATTGAAAAAGCAGTTTATGTGATATATTAGACATTTATTTAGAGTTTCGCTCATAAAAGCGACTCTTTGTCTATGAGTTTGCAAATGAGAGATAACTGAGCGATGAATGCATTGAATTCATTGATTGATTGGTAAAGAGAAATGTTTTATTTTTACTCCTTTTTCACTGTATATTATAAACAATTTTAATGTTTGTTTTAATTGAAAACAGTTTTTGTTAATAACTGTATTTTGAGAGAGAGAGAGAGAGAGAGATTGTTTAGCTTAGGATATAATGTAATCCTTTATACGATGCTAAAGTTCTCTCTCTCTCTCTCTATCAAAGGATCGACTTTCAGACAAATAGAAAACATTTTTAAAGCAAACATTGAATGCAATGATAATATTAAATGTATTGAAAATTCATTAGAAAATCGTTTGTTTATAGTAATAGAGAGTTAAATATTATATTTAATTATTTTGTTTAACATATTCATATCCGTGTCTCAAGTAATCATATATTTTAATGTAAGCTAAAAAGTCTCTCTCAGACTGTGGCCTCAGATTTAGAAATTATAATCATTTTTGTGACATAAATATTGTTCACAACTTAATCATCGCATTAAATAAAAATAGTTTTGAAAATTTGTTTGATTTTCACTTCATATCTCTTATCTATTATTTATTATTAATATTTATAATAATAATAATTTAATTATAAATATTAGTGTTTACAATAGCAAAACGCACTGATAATAATGTTATATTTACTGGGAAAATATATTAAATATACGTACGTTTCGTAGAAAATAACTTATAAACATTTAGTCTTAGTTATTAATGAATGGGAAATGGACTTCAAAACTGTCGGCGCTCTCTACCGTATCGCACACTTTGAACCAATAAATCGATGATAAATGTAATTAAATAAAAAACATAAATTATTGCAAACAATTTAGTCACAAAATTACTAGCAATATATGCAATAGTACATTGAAATCTTGGTAAATATCATATGATACTTTGCAATATTTTTACTTATAAAACTAATTAAACATTTTAATTATACGATAAGAATATTCTTGACAAACAAATATATTTTGTAAAAGTTTTCAAGATTAACTTTTTTAGTTGGATATTTGAACACCGAGCATTAAATGTATGTACGGTAAATGCTTGAGCACTGGTATCTCGGATAAAAGTCTACCAGCGCCTGGCTTTCATAACCCCAGACCCTGTTATGTTAAGTAATAGCCGTGTGTATAAACACTGAAAATAAAAGCTAATATTATATTTATAGTTTTAAAAAGACTAATAACTCCTTAAAAGCTTTATTTATTTGCAAATATAATATACACACCACTAGTTGTGTAAGTGATTGCAAAGTATGAAAACCTTTGAGTTTATTTTCAATATCTCTCTCCCGATATAGTGAACTGATTATACAGTATATAACTTATAGCTCCGTGTTATCGGCGCAAAGTTTACTACATTTTGTAAATATTTTCAATAAGATATTAGTCTTAAATCTTTTTTAATATTCTGAATACAAAAACCATTTTTCAAAAACACATAAACATATTTATAAATTAAACAAATTTTGTACACCATATAAATTAAACAAATTTATTATCTGTGAGATTCTGTTTATTAAAACCAAAATTTTTATTCACAAAAATACACATTTTGTTTGTCTATACTTTAAATATTGCATTGAAAAATAATAGTGCGGTAAAAAAGGTTTTTAATTTAAATAGATAAATTTCCTAAAATTAATATCAAAATAAATAATAAATAAATAAATTATAAGAAAATAATAATTAAAAACATAAAATTGAAAATCGTTTTCTAGTTTTTGTTATTTATTTACACAACTTTTAAATATTTTACGAATCTTTGTAAAACACACAACTTATCGCGTGTCCCTCCGATAACATCCCTTACCATAACATAACATAAACCCGCCTGTCAGCACAAAACTGGTTAAGCCGCAGGATTCTTACGCATTAGCTCTATATCCGAGTCCACCATTTCATCCACCAATTGCTGGTTATTATAGAAAATTATAACAAAATATTAATAAAACGATTGATAGATAGTTAGGAGTATATAACATGATATCCAGGTATACCTGAAATGTAATCTTGGGTTTCCATTTGAAATTAGCGAACGCTTTGGTGGAGTCTCCCAATAGGAAGTCCTATATTATATGAAACAGACATTTATTAGACAATTGTTTATGGTTCATAAATATGTGAATTAGTTAATCATGTAATTAATTAAATATTGTTTCAGTGTGCGTTTAAAATAATAATGTTAATAATCATTAATTTGAAATATTATGTAAACCTTTCTAGTATTGATGTAAAAACACAAATGAAATGTTTTGTTGATTTAAAATCATATGATTTTGTCATTTAATATCGACTTTTCTAGTCAATGGTGCGGATATTTTCATGTTTATTTAAATGTAATGCAAACAAATTATTTAAATGATTGAAAACTTAGCTCACATAAAATTCTAAGTGTATTGCAATATAAATATAAAGTCCATTCAACATAAACTACTTATTTTTTTTATTTCTTAAAATCTTATAATAATTTGGTTAAGAATTCAATTGAATTGAATGCCATGTATTTTTCAAACTTCAATATAGTATACTTAATGTATATTAACGGATACATAGGACTAAGACTTATTCTAACAAGTAAGGTTAATTCACATTACTACCCGGGGTATATACCGGTTTATTTAGCCTGTCATTCAGTTTTTCATTGTTCGGTCAGATATACGATATTTACGTGTCGGTGCGCTATAGGACTGGTTCTGGCGGTCATTAATAATGTTTTCTTTA